GTTGAGTAAACTCATCCCAGTGTTATCCTTTAAATTTTAAATTGAGGTGTTCTCACCATGCCCCTTTAACTCGAGAAAAAAACCTTTTACACATTCTCACAACGCTCGCCAACTTTTTGGTATACCGGTATGTGATGTTATGGGTTTTCTTGGTAACACATCAAAACCACTTACGAATATAATGGGTACACGAATATGGAGGTAGTTTCCACCAACATAAAATTAACGCAACTCGTAAGTGTCCACCAAATTCGTAAACGCATTTGAGCGTCCTTTATCTGTATGTTGATTTAACCGATATGGCGAAGCATCCACTAAGCCGTCGACTAAGCGTCTATTCCGTATTGATACGACCTCAATGGCTTTCGATCTTCATAGACGCCGCATCACTGAGTAGACTCATAACTTAGAAATTGACAATTTTATAAACTTAAGCGGTATGCCTCACTACTTTCCCACAATGCTTACTTGCCGTTCATAATACACAAATAATGGTCACGTACAGTTGTTTTTTTTCTTACCAGCGTACGCCTCCGCATGCAGAAGTTACTAGCAAATGTAAACGCTTTATTATGCCTAGCCACATAATCCGTTAAATACAAATCAAATTCAAAGTTAACGCGTCATTACTTGGAAGGCTCATAAATAAGCAATTGACAATTTTGGAAACTTGAGAGGTATACCTTAATATTTTACCACATTTCTTACTTCAGTGTGATCATGCACAAATAGTGATCACGCACGCTTGTTTACTTTTTACCAGCTTACGTCTTGGCATACAAACACATTATTGTGTTTAGCCTCATCAGCTACTAAATGCAAATAACTTTCGAAGCTGGGTTCAATAAAATATACTGTTTGCATATTCCGACATGCATGCATCTGCCGAAATAAAAAAAGGAATGAGCTGGTTGGAAAAGTGTATTGCTTAGTATTCAACATTCACGACTGAACTGACAACCATGTGTCTATTTCTAGACAAGTTGAATTCTCTGTACAGTTGACGAGGGCACGCAAATTTGCATAAGCACAGCTAGGTAATAGCCTACTACGAAATGCTAATTTTGTGTAAGCCGGAAGGTGTGATATGGATGCATTGGCCCTACAACTAAGGGGTTGTCCTCTTCTTGTTGAAAATGTTTGTGAGACAGCCGCTTGCAAATCGTGAAAGTTGACATCAACAAGACGCAAACGGAAGTTGTTCCAAATGATGCCGCATTCTGCACGGTACTCAAATGTAGCCAGAGCATTGAGGTGCTTCACTCGAATTTCCACGGCCTTTTCCTTCATGAGCGGCTCGTCGGATGTCGGCGAACAGCCTTCCAAATTCTGAGAAAACTGTATATGATTAAGCATTACAGTACACAAGGCCATGTTGTCATTCAAAATTGAGTATATTCAGTGAATTTGCAAAATTACTTCTTTTTATAATTTCAAAACTGCTAGTGTTCAAAATAACAGCAGTCCTGTATTCGTGAAAAAGGAAAAAATCCCAATTTTAACTAATTTCAAAACAGGTTATAATAGTAAACGATTATGCCAATTTTTTTAAACCTACCGAATACTTCAAAGAATACCTTATATACGGAAAGTAAACTTGACACTCAAATGTCATATTAAATCTCGACTGAATCTTAAACCGACGACAGCCGCCAATGGTAGGTTTGTCTGACACTTTAATGCGCATCAAAGTGTAGGATTTTGGATTATGGTATATACTCCAAAGGCCTGACGGAATTCGTTCCAGCAGATGATTATGGTCCATGCTATCGTTTTTGCATTTCATTCACTCTACAGAAAACTGAGTGCTCAGTGCGTATCTTTATATTTGTAAAGGTTCGAAGAAAACATTCTATAATATTATAGGCTATAGGACACTTTTGAACTTGTCCCGTTACATGCTGTAACATATATATATATATATATATATATATATATATATATGAATAACTAAAGTGGTATGCATTCCGAGGTGATATGATGAAAGAAGAAAGCCCGTCGGAAATAGAGTTTTACTCGAAAATTTTCGAGCTGGTTGCACCAACCTGTCGTCAGACAAAGTGAAAAGTGGGAGGTAGCATTGTCACACTGCTGGTTGAGGACGCAGACAGAGAGGTAAGCAGACGACCTTGAGAGAGGGAGGTGTGCATTGTGTTGTGATAGGTGCGGGAGGTGAGGATAGGTGTTGTGGGTCCAAGCTGTGGCTCACCGTGTTGGGGGAGGGAGGGGGAGTAGGGCAGGGTGGTAGGAATGGCATGTCGGCAAGATCATGCATGTCCGGGCACGCATTAGCTGTTGTTGTTCTTAAGGTTCTTAGAGGATCCCATACCCAAATAACAACAAAGTAACGCCATTTACCGCATCCCGTGCGCTAACTGTCGTCGCGTTTATATTGGTCACACGGGTCCACAACTTGGGACTCGCATTAATGAACACAATTTAGCTATCCGCCGACGCGACCCCTTATCCCTCGTGTTTGCCCACGCTTATGATTGTGACCACCGTTTCAATTGGGACGGTGCCGAAGTGGGCGCCATGGCTAACACTAAACATGCACGGGAATTCCTCGAAGCTTGGCACTCCGGTGCAGATAGCATTAACCGCCATGTTGACCTTGACGTTCACTACGAGGGTCTCCGATCACGGTGGACTGACTGGCGCCCACCTTAAGAACAGCAACAGCTAATGCGTGCCCGGACATGCATGATCTCGCCGACACGCCATTCCTACCACCCTGCCCTACTCCCCCTCCCTCCCCCAACACGGTGAGCCACAGCTTGGACCCACAACACCTATCCTCACCTCCCGCACATAGCACAACACAATGCACACCTCCCTCTCTCAAGGTCGTCTGCTTACCTCTCTGTCTGCGTCCTCAACCAGCAGTGTGACCATGCCACCTCCCACTTTTCACATTGTCTGACGACGGGTTGGTGTAACCAGCTCGACAAATTATGAGTAAAACTCTATTTCCGACGGACTTTTTTCTTTCATATATATATATATATATATATATATATATATATATAGTGCTAATATAAGCGACGATGCGCGTGCCCGGACATAATTGGGAAGAAAAGGCGATCTCGGGAACCATATTTTTACTGTCCTGACGTTTCAAAAGCATACAAGCTTCCATCTTCGGAGGTGAGTGTGGTATCGCGCCTCACAGTATTTATAGGTGGGTAACAGTCATGTCAAAACGGATTTTCTTACATATGAAGTCAGGGCGGCAGGGGGGATGAGGCGGGTGGCGGAAGTCCTAGAGCGTCTTTCCGCCGGGTGAGGGGGTGGTGGGTCAGCTTTAGTGATCATCAGCCGCATGCACACATGAACTGTGGCGTGCGGGGGGGAGGGAGGGAGGGTGACGGAATGTACTCAATCTACATCGGAAGCCGGCGTTGAGACGTTGGTGGTCGTCGTTCGTACCTTCATTGACCGTAGCTGTCGTCCAAGCCTGGCAATCTTGTTTACGCCGCAACGACTGTCCGTTTTCTCGTCCGCCGGACTAGTAGATGGACCGGCTGTGGTGAGGACTGCGCCTTCGTCGGAACCCGGTTGAGGGGTGGCTGAGTGTGTTCGTGACCTTTGCCACACATACGGAGCTTGTTTGCTTTGTGAAGCCAATAGATCGGTGTGCGCCCATTCCTGATTGATAAATACCCGATCTGCAGCGACAGAGAATGACAGGTGGCGAGGCACTGATGAACTTCGGTTCGATGAAGTGCTTATGACCCATCTGGTAGGCCTCAGTGGTGGACCGACTGCGCCAGGTGCGTCTGTTCGCATGTTTGTGTTTCTGGTCTCAGCTGCTGGTGGTCAGGGTTATGGTTGGCTGAATGAAGGCAGAATAAGCCCGAAACAGTGCTGTATCAATCTACCCGCATTCTCTGTCGTCCCTCCTTGCTGCTATTATGACTTGGCCGACTTCGGCCTGGTAATTGGTTGCCTGTTCGTGACCTTTTCCACACATACGGAGCTTGTTTGCTTTGTGAAGCCAATAGATCGGTGTGCGCCCATTCCTGATATATATATATATATATATATATATATATATATATATTAGCAAGGAGGGACGACAGAGAATGCAGGTAGATTGATACAGTACTGTTTTGGGCTTATTGCGCCTTCATTCAGTCAATCATAAACCTGACCACCAGCAGCTGTGACCAGAAACACAAACATCAGCACAGACGCACCTGGCGCAGTTGATCCACCACTGAGGTCTACCAGATGGGTCATAAGCACTTCATCGAAACGAAGTTCATCAGTGCCTCGCCACCCGTCATTCTCTGTCGCTGCAGATCGGGTATTTATCAATCAGGAATGGACGCACACCGATCTATTGGCTTCACGGAGCAAACAAGCACCGTATGTGTGGCAAAGGTCACGAACAGGCAACCAATTACCCGGCCGAAGTCGGCCAAGTCATAATAGTAGCAAGGAGGGACGACAGAGAATGCGATAGATTGATACAGTACTGTTTCGGGCTTATTGTGCCTTCATTCAGCCAATCATAACCCTGACCACCAGCAGCTGGGACAAGAAACACAAACATTATTATGACTCTGCCGACTTCGGCCTGGTAATTAGTTGCATTTTCGTGACCTTTGCCACTCATACGGAGCTTGTTTGCTTCGTGAAGCCAATATATCGGTGTGCGCTCATTCCTGATTGATAAATAAATATATATGAGAAGAAAAGGCGATCTCCGGAAACATAGTTTTACTGTCCTGACGTTTCAAAAGCATACAAGCTTCCATCGTCGGAGGTGAGTGTGGTATCGCGCCTCACATTATTTATAGGTGGGTAACAGTCATGTCAAAACGGATTTGCTTACATATGAAGTCAGGGCGGCAGGGGGGATGAGACGGGGGGGAAGTCCTAGAGCGTCTTTCCGCCGGGTGAGGGGGTGGTGGGTCAGCTTTAGTGGTCATCAGCCGCATGCACACATGAACTGTGGCGGGCGGGGGGGAGGGAGGGAGGGTGACGGAATGTACTCAATCTACATCGGAAGCCGGCGTTGAGACGTTGGTGGTCGTCGTTCGTACCTTCATTGACCGTAGCTGTCGTCCAAGCCTGGCAATCTTGTTTACGCCGCAACGACTGTCCGTTTTCTCGTCCGTCGGACTAGTAGATGGACCGGCTGTGGTGAGGACTGCGCCTTCGTCGGAACCCGGTTGAGGGGTGGCTGAGTGTGTATCCGCCATGGGCTCGCTCATGTCTGGATTCATGTTTAGCCTGGGTGCACGTCTGCTCAATTGTTTACTGAGCTGCGCTCGAAGGGCTTGATAGGCAATGGGAAGAGTCACACAGCGGTTGATGTAGGTTGTCCCCGTGTGCCAAGCCTCGATTTTTTCCCTGGCAATGCGATCGTTTCCCCGGCCCAGAATTTCGGCATGCTGAAAGGCGAACGTGTGTCCGGCATCGGCGCAGTGTTCGGCCACCAGAGACAAAGGGTCCATTCGCCGTACTGCCCTCATGTGTTCTCCAACACGGGTCTGTAGCCGTTTGCCGGTCTCCCCAATGTAGTTGACTTCGCAGGAGTTACACCGGATCCGGTAGATGACGTTCGTGGTTTCACCTAGTGGCAGAGGGGCCTTAGGTCTCATGACCAGATGTCGAATTGTTGACTCCGGTCGGTGGGCTATGCCGATTCCCAGCGGTCTTTCGCATGCACATATACATATATATTTAAAATTTCGATTGCAGAAGTGAGTAATACTTGTCGATTGCATTATTCCATCGGACATTAAAATATATAATCACTATTAAGATACTTTTAATTAAGTCTTATTAACATTTGATCTTGACTTTCACTTGCTGTACCGTCATTGTGTCTGTATCTTTTAGCATACGGCTACCTCCGTCTTGACGGCTTGCATATTATACCAATCGATGATGATCAAGGATTTGCTGCCGATTATAGGCGTACTTAATGCATTTAGATGTAGAAATTTTTGGATATTTTGCATTGGTTAATTCATGAAGTCAGAGTAATTTGCAATCACCATTGCAGAAGCTTATTCAGAATACAAGTTAAAGCAACATCCATCACATAATTGACAGTGGTCGGCATTGTACCAGAATTAAATGATTTAATCAAAAATTGTGTTTTCGGACGTAGCCACTTAATACGGCTTAGCACGGCCTGTCAAATTATTATATCATGAACGAATATGTGTTTACACAAAATAGCACATTTGCTTATTTTTTCAAAATATGCCCTGGAAACCTTTTTAGAATTATCAAATAATTTGTGAAAATATCCTTTTTGGCAAACTACAAAGTCATGTGTGTGCATCTTAAGGTAAGGCTATCTATTTGGTGATAAAATAAAGTCCCTGGTACGTTCGCCTATGTTTTGTTTAAAACAAACAGTCTGCTCATACGACAGTGATCAATTGAACGTTTATTATCATTCTTTAACTACGGGAAATTATTTAAGATTCTAGATTACTTTGTACATTACGTAGGCAGTCAAGAGTGGTACACTAATACCCTCTGAGTGTTTGCAGCTGGAGGCGGATATTAAAGGCCAAATGACAAGTATCAATGTCGACAAGAGTGCCGTTGATTTGCAAGAGCGTCGGCTACGCAGAATAGCATTTTTCTGTTTGCGTTTATGGTGCACGAAATGCGCCTGGCGGCGCTGCCAAAATTAAGCCAAATTAATTGGGGATTGCAGTAAATGTCATTGGCAGCATACATCGCCCCCTTCTGGCAGGCTACGAAGCATGACTCGCAGAATGCTGTAGCAGTCAGCGCCAATGAGAATCTCGTCGTGTCAAAAGTTTGAGCTGGCTTTCCGATCATTCCTTAAACATATTGTGCACGAAGTCTGGGATAAAAGAAAGAGTCAGTTTGCTGTCGTCGTTTGTAAGTACAAATCTGATGAGCAATATCTGTTCACTCAGGTCTCCTCACGTTCCTAACGGCCGCGCATAATATTGGTGTCCTTTATCAGTTTTCTTAACTTTTCACCAAGTCGATCACGGATAAAGTGTTGCTTTACAAGAGCACAAGCTTCGAACACTTACAAATGAATCAGTGCAAGGAAGAAAGTTCTTATTGACACAAAATAGCGAAATGTGCTCTTACAGCCTTTACGACCCGACCTATAATTAAACCGCTAAATTCGTGACAGACTTTATGGGCTGTCACTAATACACGCCTTTCTATATGCGAACTTGAGGTGCGACATCGCATTTGAACTAACCTTGTAGGACGTGCTGAATTTTCGATAGAAGCACTGACAAACTAATCATAGAGAGCCATTTGCATTGAAAGTCATGTTAAAAATCTTGCTGTACGCTAAAAAACGAATCCGAGCGTCAAACTGTCCAAATATCTGTTGTTGCGTAGGGGTAGCTGATAATGGTCGATGCGTTAGAATTGCCCGTTTCGATCGCTGTTAGCCCAGTCGGCAATTGTCATTTAAATAAACAAACACGTTATGTGCCTTCCTGACATTATGCTGGGTGGTCATTATCGTTTAGAAAATGACAAATGTTGTTATATCAAATCAGATAAAATCTAGCTTGAAAATTTTCATTGCATAACAACACGTTTGCAGATTCCTGATCCTTTCGAAATCATTTGCATCAGCCGTATGGAATGTTGACCTGAAATGCTATGACCAGGCGCATGATCAGATCAATTATTAATTAGCCAGGTAAGACACCATTGGAAATCGTTCGTTCTGCAGTTGAATTTAAATAAAAGAATTTCATTAAGATAGCTGTCAAATGCTGAGCTGTTGACCCACATCGTAGGCAATTGATATCATCTTGGGGTGTTGATAAATCAACTAAGGAATCTGCCAGCATGTGCGTTGGGACCTCGCAGAACACAGTCCCGCAAACCTAGTGCGTCACATGTGAAGGAACGGAATGCTTTAGCGCAAAAAGAAAATTTAACTCCGCAAAAAACACCGAAAATGCAGTAGGCTCTTTTACGGTCAAACCTTACATGCAACGTGCAATGGCCTAGTACTTTGTCTGTGTTCTCTGACGTTTGAGCATACGCGAATTCGATGGCCTCCTTACTGAAATGTTTGCGTGTACAATGTCAGTCAAACTAAATCTCACTATGTGTGCTAGCTCAGAAATGTCAACGGAAATTCCCACACGCTATTTTGTCTCGAAAAAATTAATTAACCAGTGCTGTACAACGGGTCTGCTAGCAAAATAATACCATAATATTTCGTTTACCATAAGATGCTAGGTTTCGAATAATCTACCTTTCAAAAACTGCTTTTTGTAAAATAATATCTGTTTATGTGGCACGGATTCTTCTCAATAATTTTGGTGACTCTTTATAACGAATTATATTTAATGAAACAATTTATGATCACTATGCAGTCCCCCTTAATTGACATAGACATATGCGTGGTTTTCCATACGCAGAAAATATACGATTTGCAGATTCAATACCCTTAATCCAAGTGTAACGGTACAGATAGGTCACATTTATTCGGGAATTAGAAAAGTTTTTGCAAAAAAATTATAGAACTTCCTCGAATATAAGGTTGGCTGAAGTCGAAATTGTCTACCAAATGAGCAAAACAGGAATTATTTTATGCATTTTTTCCATGACGGTATCTTTTTCTTCAATACACATCTGAAAACCAGACTTGAAACCTAGGGTTAAATTAGTCTTAGAGGGCAGCGAAATGTTTGCAGGAGGGCTATCACAATTGAGAATGGCCTTCAGAATTTTTCGTATTGAAATAGAGGTTATGGTATAAAATGATTTACTCCTGAGTAGACACGCATCCATGAAGATTATATAAGTAGCTATTTGTTGGGTACATCTCTGTATATTGATTTCCGATGCCCACCTTTGTAAAATACGCAAATGCGTACGCCGACAAACAAAAATATCCTTCCCTTTGGGCGAACGTTTGCGATTCTCGGCGAATTTTGAACCCCACGTAAAGGTTTATCAGCGCTTTAATTTTAATCCTATGTTCTAAACCTTCTTATTTTTATGAACTCGAAATAATTAATTACGAACATATATGGAGCAAATATACGATCTTTTGCCTGCACTTTGTTTGTCGGCGGCCTTCAATGCTTGAACGCATATTTACCGTCATGGTTGAATGGAAAATCAAATTTTGCTTGTTCGAACTCGGGCCTGGGTTTTGTCGCACTGGGGACGGACCTGGGACCTATGTTGGTATCTTTTGCACACTTTCAACAGCTGCAAAGTCACTGCTTAAGGGGACAGTAATTGAGGAAAATAAAGTGCACACCGGATCGAGGCACTTTTTGGCAGAGGTTTCAAACAGCTGGATCGGCTTTCCGTTATCAAAGCGTCTAGTGAAAAATATTGATCAGATTTTTGAATAGACATCCTTGAGCTAAACGATTTTTGACTTCCTTCGCTGCCTTGGTCTACCGGCCGTTGCCTGTGAGTGCTGGTAGAATCCTATATTATGTGTTGTCACATTAATTGGAATTAGTTGCGTTTGCTTCCTCCTTTGGATGAATTGGTCGACAGAACATGTTTGCTCGGTATTCTCAGGCTCAGTATGACTGTCTTGTCTTCATCACGACGTATGTGGTGACGTAGGATTTTTATAGGCCGAAGGAATGTCTAGATGCCTGTTGATGGAGTTAGCATCTGAGTACCAAACCCCAAGTGTGAAACGTCCTGTACTTGGGGCGCCCCTGCCTAAGACGACTGCTCCTTGGAAAGCAAAAATGTGACCTGTTTCCCTCATGTGAGCCGCAAGCTGTGAGTTTGGGTCTAGTCTCCGAGTTGCCAGTTTGTGCTCATGTTGGCGGGTCTGCAATTTCCGTCCGGTTTCCCCAACGTAGTTGCAGTCTCCATCGTAACAACGCATTTGATATATATTTGATGATTTTCCAGTTTAAGGCAATATGTTTTCGGGTTGCATTAAACGGCCACGAATTGTTGCAACAGTCATGAAACTGCCTCAGAGTGTCCTTTATTGTAACGAGTAGCCCTCCAAACTTAGGGTTTTTCTTCTTGTGGCCGTCGTCTGTTGACTCGGCGTTGGCTTCGCTTGATTAAGTGGCTTGGATATCCATTAGTTCGAAAGAGTAGCCACAGCAGCTCTAATAAACGCCAGGCAAAAAGTCCCTCGATCCCTGAGAACTTTGCTTTCCTCATATTATCGATCCGGATCTTTTAATTCTGCCCACCTGGGAGAGTCACGTTTTTCGCCAGCGAAGTTTTATTCTTTGGCAATTGATATATGAAAACCAGATTTGAAACGAAATGTTAGAAGTTTCGTAGCGGAAAGTTCACAGGAGATCTACCAAATTGGGAAGGACCTTAAGGCTTTATCATATTTCCCATTAGAAATTATTGTATCAAAAAGATAATTGTCCGCGCATAGAATATTTGTCATACCCGATGTTTGAAGGCCTAACACAAATATTTTGCGAAAGAAAACTATGAAAATATGTTACAGCTCTCAATAAAAAGTCACGAGGGCCTTTGCTGTTTAGACGGAGTTACTTGGGATGATGATTGAAATAAGTGGCCTGTTTCGTATAATTTAAAACGACATTGAGGAATGCGTCTTTAAAAATGGGTTTAGGGGATTTGTAACGCTGAACGTTACTTAGGACAACCA